TTAAATATAAAACTAAAAAATTAGACATGTTATTAGACTCTGAAAGTAAAGATGATACTTATTCACATGCTCTATTATTGCCTAATCTTAATCAATTAGAAAAAGAATTTAAAATTGCTATTTCAGATTCTTTAAATAAATATTGGCTTGATTTTTGTGAAGTTGGATTAGTAGCTACCTTCTTAGACTCCAGAACCAAAAAAATGTCAGCATTTACAAATAGGAAATGAGAAAAGGCCAGAACAAAATTAAAAAATAAATTAGATAATTTACATTTTAATATTACTAGTGATGATCAACCACAACAAATATCAACATTAATAACTACCAAAATAACACAAAATCTATTTTTTGAAAGTATTTTCAGAGTACAAGATCAAGAGGATATGACTTTAAATGAGTTAGAACAATATCTAAATATTGCTCCTATTAATATAATACCAATCCTTAGCAGTAGTAGAATAAACATAAAACTAAGTTTTCAATTTTATCATTATTAGCACGTAAATATTTGTATATACCAGCAATATCTATTCTATACAAAAAACTTTTTTCAGATGCAAAAAACTTAATTACTCTTCAATGTACATGATTGGGTTCAAAAATTGTCAGGAAAATTTTTTTTGTTAAATATAATGTTAAATATTTGAGTATGTTTAAATTTGTATATATAAATAGAATTTTTTTTTATATATAACTTTTGTTATATATTATTTAGGCTAAAAGAATAAATACAAGAACACTATGACACTCATTATTATTAAAGTGTGCTAATGCTTATATCAATTTGAAGAATGCGCTATAAAGTTATTTTAAGCAAATAGTTATTATAGAGATTAGAGATATTTGATCTGTTAGATAGAATAAACTAGTTGTAAAGAATTTTTTATAAACTTTGCAATGATAGCTTTACTTTTTATTGAAAGATAATACTATTTAATTTTTATTCTAAATCACAATTAACTGTTGATTATTGCAGTCATAATATTGCAAAAAGGAATTAAAAAGGATGAATATAGGGAATTTATTTAGTAATATGGATTTACTGTATAGTTAGTGTTAAAAGTTTTTTTTTCACATAACTCTAGATATAAAGTTGAAACTGGAGTAAATTGAATAAATTGATATTGTAAATTTGGTAATCAATAGTTGCAAATTTTTGATATTGCTAATATTGGTATCTTGACAATTATTAATATATAAATATGATTAAACAATTATACAGTTAATAATAAAGATTAAACAACTAAGCAGTTAAATGATATATGGGCTGATTTATGGAATTGCTAATAACTTTTGATATATTGATTTATTTTGAATAATTTTATTACCAAAATG